CCAAAAAAGAGTATAAGTTACCAGTAAATGTGATTTTTTTAATATTAATGATTCACTCCAACTTAGAGATTACTCACACTTAAACATAAAAAAAAATGTGCAAAATGATGTAAAAATAAACTTTGTAATAAAAAATAAATAAATAAATAAATAAATAAAAATGAGGATGAACAAAAAAAAAAAACTGAGCCACCTCTCCTTGCCAGGCAGGCAGGTTGGGACCCTTAAATAGATAAGGGAATTGATAAGGTTATTTTGGGGATAGATTATAAAACCAACCACCAGAAAAAAACAGCCCTGCTCCAGGAATGCAGAAGCAGGGCCAGGAAGTGCTGTGTCCAAGGCCAATGACCAAGACCAGACATCCCAGCAGACAACTGGTACAAACTGGTGCCCCTAGTTAGAATGCCTAAGAAAAGAGTGTAAAAGTCTCCAATCCTCCTTGTCCTTGCCTGGCAGACCTCTCCCATCTAGCCCCGCCCCCTTGCAGGGTATTCTAGAAATCTCCTTTTTCTGCTCTCCATTCTCTGGTGAATTCTTTCGCCCCTGTGCTCTGGCCTTACCCGAATAGCTCCCTCACTACATAGAGAACAAGGACACAACCCTGAGGAATGTCAACATTTAAGGCACACACAGACAGAGACACATGAAGAAGACTGAGACGTAGAACCTCAGGAAAGAAAAACTTAACAGAAGTAAGGAAGCCATCTGCACAAGTTGGGCCTGACACTGCCTCAGGATCAAAGGTCATAGTAGGTCAAATAAGGACAGAAATAAGAGCGTCTACTGGCTTTGGCAATAAATGGAAGGCATGGGTCACCTCAGCAAAGCAGTTTCAGTGCTATGTGAGGGCAGCAAACAGTGTGAGTGAACAAAATAGACTTGGTGGAGGCCTGCAACGCAGAGGCTGGCATCCTCTGCCTGAAGTCTGACGGTGAGGAAGGAGGGGAGGAAAGGGCTATTTTATTTGGCTGGTTGACCAGGAGACCAGTTACTTTTATTTAAGATGGAACACAGCCCTTAGAAAGTGGGGAGTCGGTAGGAAAGGCTAGGTGAGCAATGTCTTCAGAAGACAACAAGTTGGGAGCCAGAATAAAGGCTTACCCTTGAAGAGGGCGACTGTTCCCAAGACACAGGGCAGGAGGAGGAGACAGACGACAGCTGTAAGTGGAGAAAAGTTTTGGGGGGTATGATTGTTAACGCCTGTCTCTCCCGCTAAACTACAAACGGCACGAACATGGGGACTTTGCCTGATTCACGGTGCCTAGCACATAGTAGGCACTTAATGATTAGTGGATAATCACTGTACCAGTGAGATTTTGAGAGAGAAAAGAAAGAATCGCTGAACACCCATCTTCCAAACATCAACCCACATCCCACCACCCCGACTTCACTCGGGAAAACACATATCCAACTCAGTTCCATTTATTCTTCATACAAATATTTTACAGTTTTATTTTTAAATCATTTACACATATTCATACAAAGAAAAATAAATTTCAGGATGGAACCCTGGGACCATGGTGGTTAAAAAAGCATCTCTCTGATCACTAGGGCTGAAGACAAGGCGGGAGGCTCAGCAGTCATTTCTTCATCTTCCCTCAATCTTCACCTTGTGTGCGTTTATGAGGGAAGAGGATTTTTCAATGCTTTCCCCTAGAAACATTTCAAGAAGTACTGCAAAGGTTTATGGTAACACTGAACACCTCCCGCCCCCACCCCCAGGAGTCTGCAGTTCCTGGACTACTTTTCCAGACAGTCAACTAAGTCCTGCTCACAGGTCTAAGAGGGATGGCAGCACTCCCTACTCCTTCATCCCACTAGCACCAGCCTCCTACCAAAGCCCAGATCTGAGCCCATCTGGTCCCTTGAAGGCTCATTCCACAAGGCAGGCTTCCTCCTGCCCACACCCCAACACTGTAGAACTGACCCGGCAGCTTGTGAGGCCCCCAAGATGCCGGCAGCACTAGTGTACCCAGCACCGTACTCAGGAACTGAGCATCCATCAGGTGAGGTTCGAGAATGACACAGCTATGAAACCTCCTCCCGCCCCTTCAAAGTTCAGGTCTGCTGAGCCAAGTCCACGCTTACATCAACCAGGCCAACTCCTAACACATCCCGTCCCAGACACAGTCATCAGAAGTGCATGGCAGAGGAACCTCCGACACAGCTGGCCAGGACACTGCAGTTATCAACTCCCAGTATCCATGGGGAAGATGAGACATTACAAATGTGATGGACCCTCTCAGAAATGGCAGCTGATGACGACAGTCACCCTATAGCTTTGGGTCCTACCCAAAAAGCAGCACCAAGAAAGGGCACGGTGAGCAGTGAGATCTGTAGCTGGATGTACAGCCCTTGAATTACCAAGGGACTCAAGACACCACAGCGCGTTTTCCCACAATTATGCAGGAACTAGAAGAGACTACCCACCCCTACGTCTGGGCCGCTCCTGAGAGGCCGTACCGCTTGTGGCCATCAGCCCGCCCCCGTGGTAGGCCCATTTGGGGAGAGGGAGTCACATCCAGAGCGGGGACCCCTCCAGGCAGACACTCACAGGGCAGCCCATCCCACTGTCACTGGGGCAGGCCAAACATAGACAGGAGGGTGGACAGATCTCGGGAATCAGCTGCCCCATAGGCATCGCTCTGGCCTAACATAGACAATGCCAAACGCAGGGTGCTCCAGATGTTCTCTGACATAGCGCCCCCTTCACCCCGAGGGCCCCGGCTTTTCCTCTGCATGTTCAGGGCTTCCAAAAAGTGTTCCACAGCCTCCCTGTAGGAAAGAGAAATGAAAGCTGATGAGCCAAACGCCAATGGAAGAAGGTAGGTCAGTTGGCCTGAGAGCGTGGAGGTTAGTTGGACAATAGCAGGATCAGAGGAGGAGGAGGGCGAAGCAGGGAGAGCTCATTCACGGACTTTGCAGTAACCCTCTCACCGGTGAGCCCCCAGGTTGATGCAGCTGATGCCCAGGTTGTAGCGGGACCGTATGTAGCCAGGCTGCAGCTCGAGGGCCCGGCGGTACGCAGCTACCGCTTCTTCACTCTGGTTTCCATTGGCCAAGGTGGCACCCAGCTTATTCCACAGCAGGTAATCCTGAGGTAGGGTGGAGAAGGGTTAGGGTCGTAAGCTAGGCTCACATCAAATTCCGCCCATGTTGCGATGGCTCACACTGTTGGCTGATAGGCTTCCATTCCATTCCTTCCTCAACAGCTCACAGCGTGACCACAATGCCACGGCTCTCACCCCTGCACACTCCTCTATGTCCAGAGGGCCCTGTGCTCCCACCCTCCTTTCCCAATTCTCCCACAGCCACCAGCACATGGAGCCCTGGGCCGAAATGTCCCGCCTCCAAAGGTCCTGACACGCGATTCGGAGAAGAGCTGTGTCCCATTCCCACTCCTCCCAGGCTCACGTTGGGACGGACGCTGAGGGCAGCCGTGAAGCAGTCTACCGCCTTGTCGTACTCCCCGCTCAGGTTGAAAAGAACTCCCAAACCACACTGCACGTCCGGGTCGATGGAGGTGGGGTCCAGGCGCACAGCTGCCAGGAAGAGTTCTTTCACTTCAAGAAACAGGGAGCTGGACAAGCAAAACAAGCAAAAGAAGAGGTGGGCAGTTATCTGTATTATTAACCCTCCAAGTAGTTATTTAGTCAATTATACTGAGGCCCAATCTACCAGCCAACCCTTCCTGCGACAAACATGTTTTCTCTATTCCATCTACCACACTGCACTAGAGAATGCAGACCCCCTTCGGCTCATTCTGGGTCTCTCAACCCACTCTGAGATCCTCCCTCTATCCAAATTTCCAAAATCAAGGTCCTCCTGCTGGGCCTCAGGTTGCTGATGTCATCAGGAAGCCCTCATACTTACTCCGACAACAGAGACCCCAGGATGCGCTTGCTGGGGCCCAGCCCTGCCCCACCGGCCCCTTCTTCACCAGGCGCCACCAGGTGGCCATAGGCAGGTGTGTAGCGCAGCCAGTCCCGCAGGGTCTCACAGGCCTGTCGCTGCAGGGACTCATTGGTGAAGCTCACAGCCAGCGCCATCAGCGCCGTCAGGTTATCTGGCTTTAGCTCCAGACACCTGTTTGGACAGAGATAGGCAGAGCTGGTATGTGCAGTGACAATAGCACCCACCAGTGCCCTGGGAGCGGAGCCAAGCCTCAGAACACAGTCACCTGGCCTCACCTGCCAACACCCTCAGATTAAGATTCAGAAGACTCTTCTACATGTGAGTGGTTAATAAAAGTTACAAATCTGACAAGGAGGGAGTTTTAACAGCCAAGGAACGAAACAGGGGTCCCACAAATGAAATCAAAAGCTGATGAAGGAATGGAACTGACTCCAGTTCACTCCACCCCTAGAGTTTCATCATGAGAGTCCCATGAACAGCCAGAAAGAAGACAAGGATCTGGGTCCAGGCTCTATCACCTGAAGACTCTGTAGCACGAAGCACCACCTCCCCCTGCAGTGTACTCACTTCCGCAGCGCACTGATGGCTAAGAGTTCCTGTTCATTCTCTGCCTGCGTGGTACCCAGATACTGCCAAGCCTAGAGAAAGTTGACATCCATCATCCCTTATTCACCATTCCCTCCTCCCCTCCTCTGGATTCTACCCCTGCCCCACCATCTCACTCTGGCCCGAGTCCCCACCCCAGCCATCACCCAGGCTCTACTCGGTCTGCACTCCTCTCTGGGGTCTCCCTCAAAACCAGAGGAAGCGGCTCTACTCTGAAGTTAGAATGCTGGGTCCCTCACTTCCATGTGCTTGGGATCCTGCTGCACAGCCGCCTCGAACAGCAGCACAGCGTTCGGCAAGTCGCCCTCCTGAAGTCGCCGCAGCCCTTCCTCAAAAGGCTGGGGGTGGTCACGCAGTGGGTTCTCCTCCTCAAACTGGTACCCCTACAAGAAGAGAAGCCAGTGAGAATCCACCGAAGAGAGCACCACCACAGCCAGAGCAGCAGGAATGGGTGGCAACGACCAAGACAGAAGAAGTTAACACCTCCCCAAAGGTGCCAATTTTCGTATTGAAAAGGAGGTCACGTATGACCATGGTTAACATCACTTGGGATGGAGCTCACACAGCTGTCTCCTTTCACAGTACCTGCAGCGCCAGGCGAGCCTCCAAACTGAGCCCTGTTGGGAATAATCTAAGAAGTCTTTAGAGGCCTGTATTTTCACTCCCTTGACTTTTCATCGCTGGACAAGACACATTTCCTAACTGGATCCTCTTATAGTAAGGAAATAAGTTTTCCTTGGCAATTCAAAGGGTATTTCTTGTTACCCCACAATAGTATGATAATTTACAAAGGAAATGGAGTTTGGAGGCAGAGGCCCTGCCTTGCAAATGCAATTCTTACCCCCTCCTGGAGTCATTACTTGTCCTGACTGGGTACAGTGTTCAAGCAGTTGAAGTATTAATTTATTCCCCAACTTCACTCTTAATGTTAATCTGTATCTGATAGTAAATAGAAGTTAGATCCTACAATGTTTCAGAAAGACACTGTTCTCTTCTAGCTGAGGATATGCACGAAGCTTTCATGAACCAGTATTTTGTGTAAGGCAGTGAGGTCATGTTGACAACAGCAGTCAACAGTAAACTCTGTGAGTTGAGACAAACAAATAAAATGTTTTTTTGAGGAGTAAACAATATACAATTACAATCCCAAAACAATATACCAAAATGAAAACAGGACGGAAAATACCAGGCAGGATCCCTTTAAATGGAGTTAAGAACAAATTAGAATGAAACTATAAATAATAAAGATATAAAGGACACCCTTCTTCATTATTAGGAAAGTGCTGAAAAACTAGAAGCATTTAAATCTTATCAGCAAAGTTCTAAACCAACAGATGCAAACCATTTGTGACAGAAACAAAGTTATCACAATAGAAGTTTCTAAGAAAACCAGACATTATAGGAAATGGATTTAGGGTGAACATATAAAAAGTATGTTCACATTAAGAGTAGATAATATTCATGGGACATTTCCATACAGTGTAAAAACTCAGAAGTGGAAAACAGCCTTAGATCAAGGATCAACAAGCCTTTTCTCTGAAGGGCCACATAATAAATACTCTGTCACATCTACTCAGCTCTACCTAGTGAGAAACCAGCTGTGGATTATCTGTCAACAAATAAGCACAGCTGTGTTACAATAAAAGTTTATTATGGACACTGACATATGAACATTACATAACTTTCATGTCACAAAATTACTTTTTTTTTAACCTATTAAAACCATCCTCACCCCACAGACCACATAAAAGCAGGTGGCAAGCCAAACTGCCAAGCCCCAACCTAGACAGCCAGAGTTCAACAAAATAAACCCTTCTGCATTCAACCTCAATCAACTGTGTCCATAAGCAATCCACGTGTTAAGCCACCATGTAGTAAACATCACTGCCCTCTATGACACAATTTCTTAATGAAAGTAATTCCTGCCTCTCGGAGTTACTAAGAACATCAGATAAGAATATTCACCAAAGACTGACAAAAAGCAGAAAGTACTATTCCTAAATAGACAAGATCCTCAGGAGACAATGCACCAGGTCAGTGCTATGACCTGGCAGCCACAGGTGGTCTAAACATCCTCTTATCCATGTCCCCTAAGCTCCTTGGGGTTCCATTAATTGCTAACAGAAAGACAGTTTTCAAAATTAAAACATCTGCCTAGGTGAAAAAAAGCACTCCAGAGAAGCCCAACACCCAAGGAAGGCTTAGGATCACTGCGCAGCTCAACTCCACTGTCTGATCTATTCCAAAATCTCACAGGTCCATACAGGTATAGGGCTACTTCTCTGAGTCTGTCACATCACAGAAACTTCTCCTTTAAGCTTAACAATATACAATAGCTGTTATCTTGAAAATTTAAATACAATCAATAAAAAATGGTACATTCTAAGGCCCATGAATTTACCTGACAGTCAGCTCCACATTTGAAAAAAAATATTGCTGAGAGTTAATTCATAATTAATTAGCACAAAGCCAGATAAAATTTAAGTTGTTCATTACTAGTGAGTAACAAAATACAGTATATTTTTTGTGGAATATTAATGCAAGCAATGCTAATACTAACTTCACAGTATCCCAAGGTGTCAGTAACTTAACACAGGTTCAACAATCTAAAAACACATTTTTAAGTTTTGAATCAAAATTTTCATTTCACCTAGCCATGTTATTAATATGGGGGCCAAAATGCAAAGAGGAAATGTAGCTCATTTGAAAGTAGTGCTGTGTCTATACTTTCCAAAGGCATGGAAATTCTTACCCAAAATTTGCAATTTGCCCTGTATAAGTTGATGAGGCCTATGCAATTTGTCAAATTGTTAATACAAATTAATCATTTATATAGATTATTCCTAAGGACTTTTCTTCAATTTCCCTTTGTTAGAATTCCATAGAAAAAAAATTATGATCCCAAAGCACAGGGCTGTTTTAAGAAGCTGGTAGCTCTCTTTTCTATTCTACCACAACAGGATAGCTTCAGAAACAAGCCAAAATATGGGGAAAAGCATATTTTCCTAGTACTTGGCCCTCAAATGCTAGTCTTTTAAAAGTTACTTCAAACTTCACTCTTCCCTAACTTTGCACAGTTCCCTTATATCAAGATATATCTTCAGCTTTCTGCTTTACCTCTCAGGCCCTGCAGGACTTTGTCCCAGAATTCTTTCTAACTCAATCTGAGCTGAGAAAAAGATGTCACCACACACCTCCCCAGTTCCTGTTACATCTTTTTCAAAACCAATTTTCTATTTTTCTCCTTTCCCCCTCATGCTTCAACTCAGAAGAGTTCCATTACTAATCACATTACCTGTTCCTATAGGTTTTTTCCACCATGATATCCCTGAAATAAGATACACTTCTCAATCAATAGGTATATGCAGTATGCAAAATTCCATTATCTTTCACCAATGACTGTGGAGAAATTTTCCTAACATTTAAGTTACTTAATATAATCCTTTGAAAATCATTAAATTGGGGCAGAGATTAGAATTTAAAATAAACTGACAAGTTAAAAAGTAAATAGACATTAAGGTGTGAAGGCAGAGAGACAGACTTCCACTACCACTCTCGACCAAAGGAGTTCATCTCTAAATGTTCTCAGTCAACCTCCAAAGCAGAGCTCCTGAACATACCATGAGCAAACCTCTACCCTAAGCGTGCGTCTCTGCACTATCATTATTTGTTCAGGGTGGTCTGTGCCCAACTGTCCCGTTCTAAGAATAAAGCACACACTCAATGACCAGCGGAGAGCAGGGGTAAGGGGGTGATTCAGACTTCCTTCCATGGAAAGAAGTTCAAGAAACAATGTACTTTAAAACGGGCATCCTTCAAGTTCAGGATTAACGAACAGATAAGGAAACCCTACAACCTACCTTATCATAGGAAGCAGATGTGATGTCATCATACTCAGAAAGCCAGGGGTGAGCCTCGGCATCCCGTTTGGCCATCTCCTCCAACTCTGCCTGCAACTTGTCCCAGAAATCGACATCAGACTGTAAGGAAGGGAAGGCAGGTAGAAGAAGGAGAACCATCATGACCACCACCCCACCCGCCCTCAGCAGCACTAGCATGAATTCCCGAAGGTAGCAATTCTTAAATGTCAAAGTGTTTAAGAATTTTCTGAAGAGTTGTTGAAATGCAGATTCTGAGATCCTGCCCCAAGATTCTTTCAACAGGCTAAGGGGATGCCCAGGAATCTGCATTTCTGACAGGCACCCAGCCCACTCAAGCGGTTCTGACACAGGTGACCCAGAAACACTATCTGAACGCTCATCTCTTTGCTGATGCTCCACCCACTCTCTCAACGGCGCTTTCTCTTGGGTGGTCCTCCGGCACCAGCTGCTCTCACCTCTATAGCTGACTTGGCCCGTTCAAACTCCATATCAAGAGCAGATGTGTTTACTGGTCTTGTGAACTGGTCAACCCAGGCTTCAGATGTACCCTGTGACAAAGAAGGATAGTCATACCACCACCACCGTCCTACCCTCTAAAGATTGACTAAATGCTCACAAGTAACCACTAACTTGGACACTTCTGAGAAGAACATTCTCAATCTCTTTTTCCCACCCAATCAGGACCTTCCTGCTACCAAGACAGGCTGTCAATAAAATCCCTTCCCCATCTGGGACCACTGAACACTGAACCCAAGACCTGGGACACCAGCAACTCTGAAATGGGGCTAGGAGGTGGCAATGTCCTACCTGCTGCTGTATAAACTCTGCTGCCCACTGTTCTGCCTGAGCTCGGCCAGACCCTGCACCGGAATCCAGGGACACCTGCCCCTCGCCAATCTGCCGCACGAATTTCAGGAACTGGGGCACAGAGACACACATAGGCCGCTAGGGAGAGGACTTCCAGGGGTGCACTCTCAAACAAGCCTGAGGAGCGCCTGCACCTGCCCCTTCCCCTGACCATCTCTAGCTGCAGCCAAGATACACTAAGACCCTGGAAAAAGTAGAGAGCAAAAGGAAAAGGATCTCTGGCTCTAAAGATTTGAGAAGACACAAGAAGGAAAAAGAGTTAACAGACAAATGAAGGAGGGAAAGAACACTGGCAGCAAGAAGCAGGTCCCAAGTCTCCATTCTCCAAACAGGAAAGCAGTCCTGGAAACGCATTCCTTCCCTTCAGAGTAAACTGGAGTCAAAGAAGCAAGACTCTTGATTTCCAGGACCGGCTCAGCTGGGCAAAGCAGCAGTGGGATGTGGCTCACCTCGGAGTTAGCTAATTTGGGATCATCCACCTTGGCCACAAAGTCGCTGGCCGTGTGCTGCAGGTCCTCCTCAGGATGATACTCGTCATGCCTGGAACAGGGAGGACCCGGCACTGTACAGGCTAGTGTGGCTCCACCCCCCAGGCTACTCCCCTCTCCCAGCCCATGGCATCTCAGTTCCCGTGGGGGAAGTGAGCATGACGCTTCCTCACTCTCTTGTCAAGGGCCTACAAATTGCAATTTATCTTAAGGGACATTAGGTAGGAGTGACAAGGCACTAGCTACCTCCTTTTCCTTCTCCCTTCCCCAAACATGTCTTTGCAGAGGAGGAACAGACAGGAGCAAGCTCCAAATACAAAAGGGAACAGGAACTCTTGGAAGGACAATTAAAATTCTTCATTTGATTATATCTGAGCCATAAATTCATAGAGGTAATAATACAAGTGAAAACTTGAATGCAGAAAATGCAGGGGATGCCAGCCAGTCAGGGATGTGGAAGGAGGTGGGAGGCAGGGAGTGCCCGATACTCCTCCCTTCATGGGGATCCACGCCACAGGAAGAAGCCAGACTCACCAGCGGTCAGCAGTGGTTGTTCCCTCCGGCTCTCCCAGCCACAGTTTCTCCTCTGACTGTTCTAGATACTCCTCAGCCCAGCGGGCAGGGGACACAGACAAAGGATCTGCAAGGAGCAGAGATGGGAAATCACACAGGGTTCAGAGAGACACAAGAGAGGGACACACCAACTGGTCCTGGGAACGAAGCCAAAGCAGTGAGATCCTGCTGGATCCCTCAGATCCTCACCTAAGTTTCAGCCCACTCGCACTTCCAAGGGACCTAGAGCAGAAATTTACTAAGAATTGCTCAATAGGAGCTTCAAAATGGATTAAAAACCAAGCCCTTTGCTTGAAGAACTTGAGATCTCAGTTAAAAAAAAAAAAAAGCAGCCACAAGGGCCTCCTCCCTCCTGGAAGACCCTGCTTGGCACGGGTAGGAAGGACGCCTGTTTCTGGTTCAAACCTCTACTGCAGAGTTCACATCACTCCAACGTCAGGAGACTCGTATTTCATCTTTACACACCTACTAAGAGAATCTGAGAGGAGGAACGCGAGGCCACAGCAACCTGGCAGGCTCACTCAGGCCCTACTCCCCGCAAATAAACGCTACACCACACTGATTTCTATCACTTCTGACTAGTTTTTGAGGGCTGTACTTTTAAAAGACCGATTTTAGAAATGGCCTTAGCAGCTCCAATGACAAAGGGCACAGCAACAACATCAGCATAAACACACCAAGTCAACAGAGTGAATGAGTGCTGAACTGTTTCTCAACCCCAAGGACTTTGCCTCCACTGAGGTCCAAAAAACAACAAGACAGATTATTCAACAGAGTCTGGTAAACACGGAGCCCTGTGCCTGCAGTGTTCTCTCCTCTGGCCTTACATCCCTGTCCTTCCACACCAGAAACTGAGACATCATCCTGTCAGTGTCTCCAGAGTGTTGCTTTTAACACTGAGAAGCCAAACTTACCCCTTCAGTATCGATGTATAACAGAACTTTCTATTCCATTTAGCTGAAACTTTGAATAATCACAGCACAGTAATTTCAACATCTGATAAAGTACTGTCAAATCTGAATGAACAAAGGATCAAGACTCTTAGAATATAACTATTCATAAGTAATATTACAAGTATAATCAAAGATTTGGCTGATCTTTTTTTTTGATCATGGACTCTCAACTTTTACATGCAGAATTCTTACAGGCATCATTTCTCTTTCCTTTTGCCCCGACTAGGCTGTTGGCTGAGGAGTAGAGACCTAATAAGGAGATGCTGAGAACTTAAATAGACTGTCTAATGCCTCTGGCCCCTCTGCCCCACTCCACTGAAAAATGAGCACTCCCTCCTCCTTACTCTCCCTCCCCCCTCTCAACTGGAGTGTTTTGCAAAAGCTCTATTCTGGCTGCAAGTGCTCCTTGAATTACACAGAATACTCCTCTCAAGGACAGGAAGCAACAGAAAAAATACAAAGCACCTGGGACTTCAAAAGCGTCATGAAATAGATTAGAAAGAACCCCGGAGGTGAGAAAAGTTATCCTCAAATGTTCTAATTTGGTATTTGGCCATATTAACCACAAGATTCAGAATTTTCTCGCACTGAGAACCTGTTCCAGTAAAGGAATCAAAATAAAATAGTCAAAAATACCACCTGGGCCTTCACAACACTTCTTAAGAAAATCTTACAGAAAATCAGATTTCTCTGGATGCCTCTGAAATTGAAGCAACTCAGGTCTACAGGGGAAGGGTATATCCTGGTCATGCAGATTAGCAGACCAGACACCCAATTCAGAACACGGGCCTCAAGTAGCCTCTCACTGTGCATTCACTGCATCTAGGCACATGTATCCCAGATTCAAGAGTCAAAAAATCAGAACTTGCTACCCGCACACACAGTGATGGGTCCAGAGTCGGCCTACCCAAATTCAATTCCCAAGTTACCATTTACTCATTGGGCATCTTCAGACAAGTCACTTAAACCTCTATGTTTCCCTTTCTTTATCTATGAAGTAGAGATAGTAACAGCTACCACACTGGAGAGGACATGGAGAACAAATGAAATAATGCATATAGAAAGCAGATAGTAACAAAAATCAGCTCTCACTATCACTGTTGTCTGATCTTGGCAAACCCATGCCAAAAGCAGAAAACATCACAATGAGATTGTTGTCCCTTCGCCACAGCCTCTTGCTCTGTTGCCAGCCCGGGGAGGCTCTATTGCCCATCACCTTCAGCTACTGCTGACAGCGGCTTTGCCCATGCTCTTCCTAAGGAAGCCAGGGTTTGGCCTCGTAACTACCACATGAGCCTCACGCCATGTTAGCCAAGGCTGTCTAAACCCAAATCCCCTGAATGATGTGTTCCACTCGTAGTGCCGAGCAATCTGCAAGATCAGCAAGGATTGGGTCCAAGAGATTTGGGGCTAGGGGGTGCAGATTCCATGAGAAAAAAAAAAAAACAGATGAAAAAATAAGACTTTCTGTGGTAGGGAAGAGTTCCATACCTTGACTGTGGTGACAGTCACACAAAATGATAAATCTACACACATGATAAAATGAGCATAAAACTAAATACAAACACTGATCGGGTAAAATTGTGAAATCCAAATGCTCTCTCGATTGCACCAACGGCAATTTCTGATTCTGATATTGTACGTAACTGAAAGTTACACAAATGTTATTATAGTATGATGGGGGTAAAGAGGGTAAAGGTCACACAGAACATTTCTGTACTTTTTTGTGATTTCCTGTGAAACACTAAGTATTCCCAAATAAAACATTACAACAACAAAAACACCTGAGCGTCTATGGTCCTTTTAAACGTATTCTAGAATTTTAACAATGGGGATATAAAATAATGAGGATTTGAATATAAACTTCTCTCATCTTGAGTTCTATTTTTCCACACTAACCACTATGATCAATAAAATCATCCAAAAGTGGCTGAGGTTCATTAAAAAGTAAGTTAAAATCAATTCCCTTTGGCTCTTTCTCCCAGATCTCCATTCAAACGTTCAGTAAATACTGAAAGTTCACAGCATACAAAGCAACAAACTCCTGCAGGATAACAGTTTTATGAAGGCAGACTCCTACGGCCCAACTTTCATTCCCCGCTTTCCAGGCACAGTTCCAAAAGGGTGTTCAGAACAAAAGCAGAAAGAGACTCCAAAAAGGATTTAACACAAAAGGTCCAACACACTTCACTAAAATTTTTTTTCAGGGTAAGGAAGATTGCACTAAGCTACAAGCAATTCAGGTCATTATAACAAAAATTTCATCAATTTCAGTGCTCATAAAGCAACACTTTTTTTCTGAATTATCAAAAATGACCTAGGTTCATATTATAACAGAAGCATCTCCATGATAAAAGATGACAGGTAAATCTAAGGTTTAAATCTAAGGTTTGAAATTGCACCTTGTTCTGGTGAAGGGTCTTTGTTACAATCAGATTTTTCATTCACAGTGATTCCACAAAGATCATCTTCAGTGACAGTGTCATGGTGCTAAGTATGGAGCCTAGAGTCAGACAGCTATGAGTCTGACTGTCATCTCTGTTAATGATTTTGGCAAAGTGTTTAACCTTTCCAAGTCTCAGATGCCTTATCTATGAAACAGGAAGGAAAATCTATCTCATGTTACTCTGATGCCCGCAAGGGTTTAAAAACAGCACTATTAATAAAATCCAGAATGCCTACTGTTCAACCTTAAACTCCAGGAAGTAAGGATAAAACACCAGTAGCTTTAATTAAATAAAGTGAGTCTTTGCTATTGGACTTCAGGTTTTCTCCAGTGTGAGGAGGAAGCCCAATTTTTTGAATTAAAATGATGAAATGAGAAACCAATTCATTCTCTTAATCATGTCAGGAAAATGAAGGAACTATGTGATATGACCACACTGAGAGCCTAGAATTTTTGTAACTTCCTTATTATTGATCTCTTCTTATTCTTGTTTTCTCAAATTGAAAAAAAACTAGCAACACTCCTCTTTGAGAGCAATTAGGAAGAAAGATGGTCTCGCTGTCTCACCACACCATGCACACATATGTGGGTGCATACATATGTGTGTCTGTGTGTGTCTATATATATCTATACATACACAACCTAGCATAACCACAGCAATGATCAAAATCTGAAATTTTGATATTGATTCAACACTGTTATCAAATCCACAGTCTGTATTAAGTAGTAACCAATTGTCTTAATAATGCCTTTTGCAGCAACCACCACAATGGGGCCCCAAAAAAGGAAAAAAGGAAGAGGAGCATTGAAGCGAACACTTTTTTTCCAGTCCCCTTATCTGACAGGCTGCGGCGGGGAAGGCTGAATCCCACCGGGTGCAATGAACAAGAATGACCTAGGCTGGAGTGCGTGAAGTTTAAGTTGCAGGCCTGGGTAGTAAAGCACGTGGCTAAGACCACAAGGTCTGGAACTATTCCAATCCACACTCAGATCCCAACTTCAACATTTACAAAGCTGTATTACCTTGGAGAAGCGACTTAACCTCTAAGCTTCAGTTTTCTTATCTGTAAACCAGGTATAAAGACAATAACTACCTCAATCTGGGGATTAATCATATAATGAACTTAAGGTTTCTAATACAAAACCTGGACCACAGAAACTAAACACTGGCTATTACTAACTTTTATTATTACCACCAGAGTACAGTGGTTACCCTCAGGATTATACTTCAGGCCCCTGAAATTCACAACTACACCTCCAAAGGCTCATCTCTGCCAAAATCCCATGAGCCAGGCTGAAAGGTTCTTTCTTCCTGATCAGCACTCCCTTCCATCCAATCTGTACGTCCTTTCCACAAACTATCAAATTCTACACAACAAAAAAAGTACACCTAGCTCCTCATATTCTCTCCTCTCTCTTCGATATTCCAAAATCTCTTCTCCAATTCAAACTCAGTCCTCTGTTTAATATAAACTTCAATTCCCTATTACCTCCTAAGGGAAATCAGGCTTGTGACCCATAGAAATGAAAAGTTATAAGCAGCTAAAATCACTCCAGATCCTACGATGCAACAGTACAGAGCTGGGATTGCCCCATTGGAGTCATTCCCCATGACGAGCCTCACCTGTAACTTCAGAGATGAATTCCTGGGACCAGTCTGTCTCATTATAATCCTGAGTTACATCCACAGCATCGCCAGCTGCCAGAAACTCCTGGGCCCAGTTCTCAGACAAGGCCAAGTCTGCCACACCAGGGGCTTAAGAAAGAAAGAGAGTACTATGAAAGACAAGAAATACATTTCACTCTGTTCCACCTAAGTTACCTTGAGAGCACATGAAAACACTTTGTTTTGTGTCCGCCTGCATTTCAGTTCCCCAAAGCCAGCACCATCCATCTGGTCCTATCTACACAGAAATCAGTGATTTCCACCCCCATTGGACCCACCTCTCTGAGGTGCCTGGCGGAAGTTTGACTGTTCAATCTCCTGCATCTCTGCCAAGAGATCATCCATCTTGAAGGTCTGCGGGGCACGGGACACAAGTGGTGCATTCTGGTCGTGGAGGAATTCGGCCACCAACTGTCGGAAGAGAAATACCAAAATGAACCCAGAAAGAGACAAGACCCATTAGATGGGGGGTACTGATGTCAACTACAACAAAAGGGAAACAGAAACTACCTATTTGGAAGCACTGACAGAGTACATTTTAAAACAACAATCTGAATGGCTACGGCAATTCTCATTTGACTAGGAAAAGTCTAACAATTGAACTATGGGTTTAGTCACGTTTAAGATAAAAACACAGTGGGCCAGAGGGAAATGCAACTGAGGAGACAGCAGTATATTTACCTCATCTTCAGAGGCGACTCCCAGTGGCTTAGAGACCTAAGACAGAAAAGGAAAGACAGGTGATGCTGTTCAGTGAGGAAGCCCATAGATAATATAACTCAGTTAAACAGGGGGTCAAGTTTCAGCTCCACCATTTACATGACCTTGGGCAAGTCCCAAAACTTCCCTGAGCCTTCCTTTCTTCAACTATAAAATGGTTCCCTTTATCTACATAAAGACATGCAGTACTTAGCATAGTGTTTAGTAAATAATCATTAAGCAGTAACTATTATTTTTGCAACAACAAGACAGTTATCCCAAAGTGTCCATCTGGATCCTCCAAACCAGGCTTTCCACGTGCAGGACACCTACCGCCTCCGAAGCTGTGGTTCCTGGAGGCCAGGGAGCTGGCCTCAACCCCTCCTGTCGAAGGGCCTTATCTTGGGTGAAGTGCCCCGCCAGCTTCATGAGCGGGTTGGCACCCCCGCATTCGGCCTCCACCAGCTCCCGCATTGCCATGGTGACCGCCAGCTCTCTGATGGGCAAAGGTTTGGAATTGAGGTCCCTTCCTCTCCCCAGCCACAACTCAACCTGCACCTGCGAGAGGCGGGCACACGGCAGTCCCAAGTAGTTTGCCAGAGGCCAACCTCCGCCTCCGCTCCCATTCCGAGAGGGGACGGGCGCCCCCCGCCGCGGCCCCCAGTCTCCCCGACCCTCCGCAAAGGCGACCGCTTTCAACCTGGGCCTCCCACGGCCTCCACGACTGCGGTCTCGGGTGGCGGGACAGGCCGGCAGCCGACACCACGGAAGGGCCTGAGCCCCTTGGGACGATGTGGCTAGAGCCGTATCGGGGCAAGGGCTGTGCGAGAGAGAGTGGAGCCGCCGCCAGACCGTAACCCAGACCCCCCAACCCAGTGGTCTGGGGTGCATCGTCGGGGGTCCTTTCCTCTCCTTAAGTCACCTGAGCCCCTCCCGCTCGGCCAGTCCCGGCCCTTCTCCCGCGCTCCAGACCACCCCTTCTCCTCCGCCCCCGGAATTCGCGGGAACACGGCAAGGGCAGGGAGAAGTCTGGGGTCCTGTGCCCCGCGGCCCCTGGTGCTCACCGCCGCGCGCCGCGCCGCACGACCAGCCGGGGCACCTGGACCGTCCTAGAAGGGGAGGAGGAGGAGGGGCAGCGGGAGGGGAGGGGCGGCCGTCATGGGCGGGGCTTCGGCTTAAAGGAGCCATGATCTCCTCTCGGTGGTGGCATCCTGGCTGAAGCTGTTTTAAAAGATTGAGCCTTAAGACCGCGACGCAGCGAGTCGGAAGGAGCTGCGAGTTTATTAAAGGGAAAGCGACGTCTTAAAGGGGAAGTCTTGGCGCGTTGACTCTGGGAGTGCTCCAAGGGTGGCGGACGCTAGGAGTTGTTTCTGGGAAAGCTCAAAGAATGGCTCGAGGAGAGGCTTCCTGAGCTTTGGGGGAAAGCCAGGGATACGAGATCTCGGACTCAGCTAATGCGGCCTTTTCCTGACGGGTTCGATGTGACCCAAGGGGATCCATGACCTTCCTGGGCCTCAGTTTCTCCCCTAAAATAGAACGAATATTTCTAAACGCCCGGGAAGGTAAGAAAAAGACCCTAATATGGCAGTTCGGGGCTCAAATCCGCGGCCTTTGCGAGGCTTCCGACCTCCCCACTTCCAAATTGCCCCAGCCAGACAGCGTCACAGTCTCCATGGAGACAGGCCTGCCCCCCCCCCATCTGTTTGCCACCTTTCCGTAATGTGTGTTGGGGGGTGGGGTGGACATGGATGATGACAAATTCCGTAGACTAAAATAAAGTCCAACGCATCGTGAGACCTCAAGCTGGTTATATACCGGGAAGGTACACAGTGAGTCACTCCCCTCTGTCTGCTTCCCTCTCCGCTGACCAAGGTCACCGGGTGGGTGGCCTTATCCCTGCTGCACCAGACTAAGAACGCACAGACATGCTGCAAGAAACAATATTTAATCACGAAATAAGCCTCCAGCGCTACCATCTGCCAGAGAATTGGCTCTGGTGTCAAGCCTCAAGGTCACTGAAAACTGGCTCTGAGACCAAGAGACTCTCTTAGTGTCATGAAGACAGACAGGAGGGACTTGGAGTTGCTAGAAGGCAGGTAAGCGAGGAGAGATCAGTGCTGCTAAAAGAAGTGACGTGACATCCCCTCCCAGGATGCAGAAGAGCAGCCAGGTAGACGGCAGGTGGCGCCCTGGCCCAGGCTCGTTACTGGCGTCTTGCAGGTTCAAAGATTGAGGTCCCACCCAGTGACTTGAGGGGCGTGGCTATAAACAAAATCATCCCTGGAAAGGTAGAGCAACCACTCTGTCATCTCAGGGGAACAAAACAACAGACAGACTTGAAGATTCTTAAATATTCTTTTCGTTACTTTTTCACTGTCTTTCAGGGGCCCTGACCCCATGTCTCAAATCCCAACCTTTGCATGTTCACTGTTCTCAGACTGCCACTGTAATAAGAATATTCCATACATACTAAGTTAAACCATGCCAAAGAAAAAAGGATGCCTGGAAAGTGCATACTTTAAACAAGAGGGTCTCTGGGGAGAATAACGTTTAGCTGAAAGCCTCAACTGTGGTAGAATTTCAAAGCAACAGGGATTTTTCCCAGAATTGTTCTGACTGTCCCACACACATAACCTTCTGTTCTATGGATTTAAAACTGATTAGCAGTAACTCCCTATGTGCCCAGCTTGTGGAAGAAAGATAATAATGATAGCTGATGTTTAGCGAATGCTTCCTAAAATCGAGGCATTGGTGACTTTAGTCTTCGTAATACCCCTGTGAAATAGGTATTACTGACCACACTGTACAGATCAGAGTTATCCATAATCACACAGCTAGAAAATCAATCCCATTTCCTGCCAATATTAAAAAAGCCTTGCTTCTAAGTGCTGGAAAGCTTTGGTCTCCAAGGCCATAGAATCCTTCACCATTTTCGTACCCTAGAGTCCAAGCCAGACTCTGGGGTTAAAAAGGGGCTAATAGAGTTATTTGGGAATTTAGTTAACTGAAGTTCTTGATTTAAAATCCTAGATTTTGTTAATCCAGATCCAACTTCATTTATTCTATTCATAAGTTATTAGGATAAAATAACCTCAACATTTTCACTTATTCTTTCATTAATATTTGACTAATTCAAGTTTAATGGGTTACATTCCTCCAAGTTTTAGACACTTAAACTGTATGTATTATATGCCAATCATTGTTCTCATCAATTCTCAAATACTGATTTATTTAACCTTCATAAAAATGACTATTATTATCTGTATTTTACGGATAAGAAAACTCAGGCTCAAAGAGGTAAGTGACGTACCCAAATTTATACTAATAAATAACAAGGCTGTGATTTGAGCCTACCCCAGCATCATAAAATTTTAACAGCTGTTTCGGACCTGGGCCACTTCTCCCCTCCTTGGGCCATCTGGTGGTACCCCACTCCCTAGAGGTCACCATATTGATGCTGAACTTAGTGCAGGGACACCCCATTAACATAGCGCACTACAGCCCGAAACTCCTGGGCTCACGTGATCCCCCTGCCTTAGCCTCCTGAGCAGCTGGGATCACAAGCATGTGCCACCACGCCTGCATAGAACTTTATCTATAAAGAACCAAAGTAAGTATTTTTGTTTTGCAGAACATACAATTTATCACAGCTACTCAGCTCTACTCCTATATCATGAAAGCCAGCACAGATGATACATAAACAAATGAGCATAGCTTTGTACCAAGAAAACTTTTTATGGACCCTGAAATTTTAATCTTATATCACTTTCACATGTCACAAAGTACTATTCTTCTTTTAATTTTTTCAACCATTTGCAAATGTTAAAACCTTAAATTTCTGACTATACAAAGACAGAAAGCAGGCTATAAATAGCTGTCCCTTGCCCTATGCAGTAGGGTTCCAGAGTTCATGCTGCTAAACCTTGTGCTTTACTTTCCCTTTTTAAAAATAAGTGCAGCATTATAAGTCATTGTTACCTCAATAAATTTTTAATTATCAACACAAAAAATAATTTAAATTAAAAATAAATTGCCTTAAATAATTTTAAACTGGGCCCTCCCTGGTGGCACAATCAGTTAAAATGCAGTACTATGAAGCTATCTGCAACACTGCAGCCTGAGTTTGATCCCGGGCCAGGGAAGTGACCCACATGACACAGCAGACCCCTCCTGTCTTGCCCGCTGCTCTCCTCAGCAGTGTACTTCATCAGTTTGCCCGTTCTGCTCCCCACTCTGTCTCTGATGAATTATCTTATCCCACATACCTCTGACCTGTACCCCAATTCTGTATGCATAAATAAATCTTTTTTAAAAAATAATTTTAAACTACATGGCATTCAATATTTATATTTTAAAGCATTTGAAGTGGCTCACAAATTAACCCTGTCATGTAAAATCTTTCTAATATCTGCTTCAGTGCTGTAAATCTAATAAATTTATAAACTTTTAGCAACTTTTTCTAGACTTCCTAAAATCTCAATTCTAAAACAATACTTCCTAAATTAAAGACTGATACATGAGATTCTTTCAACCTTCAAACATGTAACTCATGAAGCCACTTTACACACAAAACAAATTTATCACCTGGGTAGGTCAAGACTACTGGGTTAAATCTGGAATTATACCTTCTCTGACAGGTGAAGGTCAGGGATTTGAGACCAAGACATAAGACTTGAAAGCTACCAGTTCCCAAGACAATGCTGTTTGAATCACAAGCGAACACTCACAGTCCTTTTTAAAAGATGAATTCTATCTGCTATGTCATAGATTGATAAGGCCAGTTCCTCTGACAAATATTTTTACCTAACTCACAAGTCAGAATTTTACCTTGTTTTTATTTCTCATTTAGATGCAGATTATTTTTTTCACAACTAAACATAAGTAAACAAATTACTTTGTTAAGTATTGAGTTCTATATTCCTTTTCTATATTCCTTTTCATTTGGGGAAAAGGAAAAGGAAAACCATTTCATCTGAAACCATTTCATTTTATTCTTTCGGTTTTTAATACCATAGTGACATTGCACTGTAATGGGAAGTTCATGTTCTGGAAATTGCCAATCAAGTTACAGTCTTAACATCTGTCTGGAAGAATTTGTTCATCTTGCCGTCTCCTTTCAGCCCCAGTAGCCATCAGTGGCAGAGACATGACATTGGAAAAGAGCTGTGTGTATCATGAGATGTGGCAATCTTGGCTTATCTAAATAGACCTGAAAAAATTCTCAATTTGTTTACAAAATGTTCAGAGTCATATCTAAATATACCCAGGTGTATCCGGCACTACCAACCTAGATCTGGTCACAAAATTTCTAACTCCATATTATTGGAATGTTAACCCTATAATACTAGTTTTCGACTGCTGCTTTAACAAATGATCACACGTGTGGATTAAAACAACACTATTTCTCTTTTTAAAATTCTGCTGGGCACAAGTCTAAAATGATTCTTACCAGGTTAAAATGAAGGTGTCAGCAGAGCCTGATTCTTTCCAGAAGCTCTAGAGTGGATCTGTTTCCTTTTCTTTCCAGATTCTGCACCCAGCATTGTTGGGTCAAGTTCTTCTTACACTGCAATCCCTCTGGTCCTCACCTTTCTGCCTCCCTCTTCCAATATTAAGACCTTTGTGACTACCTAGAGTTCACTTTGATAATACAGAGTAATCTCTCTATTTTAAGGTCAGCTGATGAGCAACTTTAGCTCTCCTTTGCCTAAAGTAATCACAGGTTCTAACGATCATAACATGGAACTTTGGGGGGCACATTATTCCATACACATGCAATGAACGCTGCCTTCAGAATGAAGAAAAAGTCAAGACATTCTTGATAAACTAAAACTAAGAGTCTAGCAGACTTTCCATAAATCAGTGGCCAGCTGAAGTTTCCAGAAAAGAAAGGAAACAATAAAATAAAAAACCTTGCAATATCATGAAATTAGGAAGAATACAGTAATCAAAAAAATGGGTAAATTCAGTAGGTTTGAGTTTTTTCAAGCATGTTTGATGGTTGAAGCAAAATTTATAAGCTCTGTTTGTAGCTAAAGGCATGAAACCTGCCTGGCTCACAATTGTCCTGGTTAAGTTTGTATTCACCATC